TTTTTTTTTTTTTTTTTTTGGTAAAGAATTTCGATGTGACCTTGAGGCAAAAGCTGTTTAATTTATTTTTCTGCATAACATTTTTTTTTCGGATTTTTTATTTATTTATTTATTTATTTATTTATTTATTTATTTATTTTTAGGCTGGTATCTTCCCTAATCCTTGCACAGCCGGGCCGCCCGGCTGCTAGCCCAGGATGTTTTTTTATTTTTGGGGGGGGGTGGGGGCGGGGGGATGGATCCAGACACTCTGGACCAGACACCAGACCCAGACATCCAGATCCAAACGGTCTGCATTGCGGTCCATACATCCAGATCGCAACCATGCTCAGCAGTTCCCAGCAGGTGCTACTCCCCACCAATAGATTGGAGTCGCGTGATGTGCGGTTAGGGACGAATGCTCTTACCAACATCCCTAACAGAGGCAGTGCCTGTTTTGTAAATAATTAAAAAAGAAAAAAAGAAAAAAAAGTTCCATGGGTGTACCAACTGAGCAAGGCCTGCCAGTTGTCTCACAAGTTTTTAGTAGTACTTTTCCATAGCTTTTTATTCTGTTTTTTTAACTTTATTCAACCTTTTTTTTCCGGCGGATTCCGTCCCTGCTTTGTGACTTCTTTGCTGTATTGCCCCTCTGCACCTCTTGCATGGAGTTTGCCATGTGGAGGGTATCTGAAGCTGACCGTGAAGCTGACCGGATGCATTTCCTTTGCCAATTTTTCGTCTATATGCGTTGAATTTACGGATGTACCAGGAGCTCACCATCTCGATTTGCGACCCGCGACTCCCCACGATCCTCAGTCCGTGGTGATGCAGCGCAAGGCTGAGAAGGTACATATTCGCGCATGGCTGCGAGAGTTTCACGCGAAGAAGCATGGCTTCTTCTTCGGCGCACGGATGACGTTCACCATGGCGGGTTTTGGAACAATTCTCTGCGGCATAGTTGGCGCGGTCGTGGCTGTTGCAGTTATTCAGACGGCGGTAAGGCGCCGGAGGAGGAGAAGGGCCGAAGGGGATTTCAACCCTGGGACTGGATTGGATCGATTAGCTGAGAAGCTGATTGAAGGACCTGAGGAGGATGAAGAACGCCGTCAGTCGGCACAACCCTGGCCATAGTGGAGGATTTGATTTGGGGGCTCGTCTGTCTGGCGATCGGGCTGATCAAAGGGGAGGTTGGAGAGAGACGACTCCCAGACTCTCTGACGTCAGTCTGGTTCAATTATAGCCCTACAAGTTGATCGGAAGGCAAGGAGGATGGAGACGACTCTGACTGGTCAGTGGTCACCCAACCATGACCATGGTGGAGGATGTGTCAGGGATCTTCTTTTCAAAAAAAAAAAAAAAAAAAAAAAAAGATT